CATTTGTGCTTCTCTCGCGCAAGCAAATATGTGCCTTCACGAGAAACAATATTTTTCTATGCAAAAAAAATCACCTAATTTTTTTCTCCAAAACCTAGAGAAAACCAAATGAAAAATGAAAAATAAAAAAACACATCTAAAACTTGAAAAAATGAAATCCAAAAAAAGCGTCCAACATGCACCATGTAGCGAGACTTGCCATCAGGACGCCAAAACTGACCCCTGAAGGTCCCCCGCAAGGGGTAACCACCAATTACTTGCTCTCCCCTATGCCCTATGAGACACTCTTTGCGTCAAAATGGCTTTGTCTCGCTTGCAGTGTCCAACTCGCGGACTTGTTAGGCCTACCCGTTTATGTTTAGGTTCTTTCTTCATTCGTTTCTGTTTCATGTTGATCGCTTTTTTTCTGGCCAGCATGTTGGCCTGTTGTGGCGTGGTTCATTAATGATTTCTTGATTCGCTGTTTCTCATGTATGAATTGGCGCACAAAAGCAATAAAATAATTTTGAAAAGGAAGAAGAAAGTGTTGAACGATTAATTTCAATACAGAAATATTTACGTTCTTGTTTTCAATTATGCACAACAAGAAACAAACATAATTTGCTCTGGCTCAAGCCTCAAAGAAGCATACTAAAGCTGTAAAACAGAATTTCATCTGTAGAAACCTTTCAAATGTTGACTTTCTTAGAACTGGTATTCATGCGTAAAAATCTTTCCAATGGTCTCCTGTGAGATTATATAATTTCTTTCTCGCACATTTGTAAACTTGCAAAAACATTTGAAAATTAGAGTAAGAAGCATACTTTCTTTCTTGGCCCTGATAAAAAAATAAAAATAGCCTTAAATTACTAAAAAAATATGAATTTTAGATAATTTTCTTGGATTAAAAAATATTTTAGGGATTCAAAAATGTGTTCACGACATTAAAAAATGTTCTAGGGAATCAAAATTTATTTTAAAGATTAAAAAATATTCTTCGATTCAAAATCTGTTATTTTATCAATAAATGCTCTAAGATTAAAAACAAATCATGGATTCAAAAAAATCTTGAAATTAAAATATATTCTTGGAATTCCAAATTGGTTCTTGTAATTTAGATTATGTTCTAAAATTCAGAAAATATTCAAGGCATTCAAAAAATATTCTAAGATTGAAAAAATGGTTTTGGAATACGAAAGTAATCAAGATGTTCAAAAAAATGTTTTAGGGTTCAAATTTTGATCTAAGATTCAAAAAATGTTCTAATGTTCAAAAATGGTCTTAGAATTAATAAAAAATGCTTTTTATTAAAAATTTATTCTTGAAATTAATATTATGGTTTAAGATTTAATGAATGTTTAAGAATTAAATAAATGTTTTCGAATTTCAACCCTCAACTCAACTAGTCAAAACATGTCCGGTTTAGAAAGGCCAAGGTTGTCAAGTAAACGATATTAGAGTTCATAGATGTATCTTAGACCCACCCAGGAGTTTACAGTTGAAATATTTACTTATCTCAATATTATCTGATACATGCAAAAATGTTGTATGATCCAAGTTTTGTTCAAACATTCAAAATGTTCTGGTCCACATTTTATTCTGTCATACATTCGTTGAATTTAAATATTATTTGATGATGCAGCCTTGTATTCTGCTTACTCATGAGTTTCCTGGGACTATGTTTGGTCTAAACACATTTTGTGTCCGCAACAATTAAAATGATTATTTTTATACTAGACTTTTATACATTTAAAACTATCATAGTACACTTTAATGAGTATATTTTTTTATTACTTAGTAACATAGTTAACCACATGATAGTGTTGCTAAATTTTAGTTACATTATTCGTTGTTGTTTTTTTGAAAGATCCGGCTTTATGCTGGCTTTTCATTGATCATAAGCAGGAAGCAGTGGGAAAACAAAGGTGGTGGTGATCTAGAGGATCCGAGGGCTTGCCACAGACCGGCAGTCCTCGAGCGACTAAGTAGCTTAGGGTTTACATCTCATGGTGGTTCCCCGAAGGGGCTCTCAATGCAGGTTGCACCCGCGGCTCGCCATAGCTCGACGCAGTCCATAACCCTCCTGATGATGTTGGAGGCACTTGGTATGTTTCTCCTGAAGGTGGCGTTGTTCCGTTCCTGCCAAAGCTCCCAACATGTGAGCAACAGGAGCGTGTTGGTGCCTTTGCGCCATCTTGGTGCAGACCTGTCCAGGGCGCCGAGCACGATGGAGGAGTGCTGTTGATTCTGCCAGCTTTCATCAGCCGCCAGAGGGGAGCAACCTGTCCACATACTGATTGTTTCCCAGACTCTCTTTGCCATTGGGCATTCCCAAAACAGGTGCTTTGAGGATTCAAGGCTTCGAATGCACAACTGACAGAAATACTCATTTTTCCAACCGCGGCGCTGAAGTCTGTCGTTGCACCACAGCTCGTTTTGTAACATGAGCCATGCGAACATCTTGATCTTGCCGGGGGCCTAAGTCTTCCAGATGATCTGGTCGAAGCATGAGGATGTCGTGCCCTGGAATTGCATCTGGTAGGCTGATCTTGTAGAGTATTGGCCCGTCCGCTCATGGATCCACCTAATGGAGTCGGGGGTGTCCGCACGTAGGTCACCGGTGGCGCCATGCAACCTCTTGTGCATGGCAAGGAAGTCATGGATTACGTCTTCAGTGCGGCAATGGGCGAGGTCTCTGATCCAAGTGTCATCCGCGAGGGCGGCCTTCACCGTCCTGTTCTTTCTCCGGGCATGCAGGGCCAGCCGTGGAAATTGTTGGGCGAGCGCGCCCGACCCCAGCCATGTAGAGTGCCAGAAGGAAGCCGACGCGCCGTCCCCGATGCTGACCGAGGTTGCCAACGTGAAGAGATGAGAGGTCTGCAGCATTGCCATGGCAGTTCCGAACCCACCCATGGCCAATCGGGGTGGCGCCATGCGAGCCATGGCCAGCGCAATCTAAGTGCTCGGTCGAAGCGCTATAGGTCAGGGATTCCCACGCCCCCGTTCGCCGTTGGTGTACAGACCGCTGCCCAGTTCACTTTGCAGTTGGCAACGGAGATCTCTTCATCTTGTTTCCAAAGGAATCGGCACCGGCATTTGTCAATTTCCCTGAGGATCTTCTTGGGCACCCGCAACACAGTTAGCACGAAAGTGGGCATGGCGCTGAGGATGCAGTGGACAAGCATGCGTCGTCCCGCAATGTGGATTAGCCTTCCCTTCCAACCTGCCAGCCGGGCCTTGATTCTATCTATGATGAACTGCAGGTGCACGAGCCGGAGCCGACCAATAGTAAGCGGTAGGCCAAGGTATTTGATAGGGAATGGGGCGATGGAGCCTCCAAAATTGTGCAGCACATCTACGAGGTCTAGGTCATTGCAGCTGATCGGTGAGGCCGTGGATTTAGCGGTGTTTATTCACAGACCCGTTGCGCGTCAGAAAGCATGCAGAATGTTCAATAAGGAGTCGGCCTCCTGGCAGATTGGGTTGATGAAGACAACGGCGTCGGCGGCGTAAAGACTAACCCTGAGCTTCAACTCATGGCCTCGAATTTGTTGTAGGAGGTGTTGCTCGACCGCCTCCACAAGCAGGTGGTGCAGCGGATCTATGGCGAGTATGAAGAGAAACAGTGAGAGCGGGTCTCCTTGGCGTAGACCGCGGTGATGGGCGAAGTGGTAGCCCGGCACCCCATTCAGATAGACCGACGAGGATGCCGAGGAGAGGAGCAGGGCCACCCAATCGCGCGAGCACGCGCTAAACCCTAGATGCTGCAGTAGTTCTAGTAGGTAGTCCCATGAGACCGTGTGGAACGCCTTCTCGATGTCAAGCTTCATGAGCAGTGCCAGTATTTTGCGCCGGTGAAGGTGGCGGACGGTGTTTTGCACATAGAGGAAGCTATCATGGATGCATTTAGTTTTGAGGAACGTCGTCTGTGCCGGAGATATGATTGTGTGGACCACCTTCGCCAGCCTGATGGAAAGCACCTTGGATATGAGCTTTGCTATTGAATGGATCAGACTAATCGGCCGGTAGTCCGTGATCGCTGTGCTTCGTCCTTCTTAGGGAGAAGAACGATCAGGGCCCGATTGATGGCAGCCATGTCTCCTTCTGTGAGGTGATAGAACTGGTGGAAGACCGTCATGACATCGAGTTTGATGATCGGCCAGCACGTTCGGAAGAAAGTTCCGTTGAATCCATCTAGCTCAGGCGCTTTTTCTTGGGGCGATGCGCCGATCGCCTGCCAAACCTCGTCCTCCGAGAAAGGGTTATCTAGACTGACTGCCGGCAGAGAGGGCAGGTTGATCGAGCTCCAGTTGATGGTGGTGTTCCTGACGGGCGCCGCCCCGAGGGAGGAGCTGAAGTGATATTGGATAGCCTTGGCCTCGTCGTCATGGGAGGTAACGATTGAATCTGTCATGTGAATGGCGTGGATGAAGTTTTTCTACCTCCTGGAGTTGATCTTGGCCTGGAAGAAGGCTGTCCGGGCATCGCCGGCCCGCAGCCAAGTGATGCGCGAGGCCTGGCGCTTCCGGGAGCGCTCGATCACGGCCAGGCCGAGGACGCGAAGCTTGATCTTCTTCCGGAGGTCGAGCTCGCTGCTAGACAGCCGCCTATGCTCCTGGGCAATGTCGAGGCGGAGAACCACCTCGTTTGCGATATGCAGCTGCATGCGAGTGCTACTGAAGAAACCTTTTGCCCAGATCTTGAGATCCTTTGCCACCCTATCGAGCTTGGCGTGGATGCGTCTGAATGCATAGCTGGAGGCGACGGGGCGATCCCATGCATGTTGCACCGTTGCATGGAATCTGGGGAAGCGCGGACAAAAAGATTCAAACCGGAATTGGGCTGGTCGACGTGGTGTAGAAGCTGCGGCGAGCAGCAAGGGGCAGTGGTCGGAGCAGGACGTCAAGGTGGCGTGGAGGAGAAAGGACGGGAATTGGTGTCCCAGGCATTGTTGCAGAGAAACTTGTCGATGCTGACAAGGGTTGGGTCTTCATGCTCGTTGCTCCATGTGTATCGCGGTTTTTTATCTGATCTCCCGGAGACCTGCGGCGTCGATCGCCGCCTGGAATTTTCCCATCATTCTACGATTGATGTTGCTATTGTTTTTGTTGCTGGCTTTGTATATGAGGTTAAAATCACTGTTGATGAGCCAGGGATCGTTTGTTGGTGGCGCCGCCCTAACTAATTCTGACAAGAACTCGTCTTTTCTACTGTCGTCGACAGGGCCGTACACCGTACATGGTTAGCCAGTAGGGTGTTGATGTTGCCATTATGGTAACGCGGACGGTGATGGAGAATTGCCCGACAGTGTGTGATTGCACGTCTACTACACTACTGTCCCAGAAAATCACGGCGCCCCTGGTGCCGGAGGCGGGAAGCACCACACAGTCGGCGAGCCTCGCTCTGCATACCTCTCTGACCAGAGGGCTGCTCCATAC